TTCCGGGGCCGGGGCGGGCCGCCGTTTCCAGGGAGCACTTCGCCGGGCTCCTCGCTGCTTCGTTTGCCCAGATGCAGCCCTTCGGTTAAGTTGTTTTTGCTTTTCTTTCTTCCCCGGTAAGTGCCCTTTACCGGCTGCCGCTCGGTTCCCCTCACGTTTTTCATTCATTTATTTGTGCGCTTGATACCCTTTATTATGGGCCAAATACTTCCTACGTGCATTTATTTTTATTGGTATGTTTTTATGATACATAATACTTTATATTTATCTCCCCATTCTTCTTTTGAATACGCTTCCTTTTAAAATTGATTTCACCTGGTCTGACCGGTCAGCTTCTCAGAGACAGGGGGAGCCTGATGGGCGAAGGAGAGGGAAAGAGGGGAGGAAGGGGAGACAGACGAGAGAGAGAGGTCCGAGACTGACCCCTGCTGCGGTCGGAGGGAGGCTGCCGGCCCCAACCCAGCTCCGAGCTTTCTTCACAGGCGCCCGCAGAGTAGGCTGGCTCCGGAGCAAGTACAACTTCATCGCCGAGGTGGTGGAGAAGGTGGCGCCCGCTGTGGTTCACTTGCAGCTGTTCCGCAGGTAAAGTAGCAGGAGGAAGACTACCCCAGCCGGACGCTTCAGAGGTCAGCCTCCCCCGTCTGTTCCAGGTCCTTTGCAAGCATCATTGAACCCCCAAATCCCTAAAAGCCTCTGTGAAGGGATCCCAGGCTCAAAGAGATTGCGGGGGATGTAGCTCAGTGCGCGCGTGAACAGTGGTGTTGTAGCTCAACTGATCCCCAGAAATGATGGAGGAAAATCTGTGCAAGGTGCTTTAGAGAGCGGAGGCACGGGGCCAGGGATTTAGCTCAGTGGCACTGTGCTTGCCTCCAAATTGCAGGGTCCTGAGTTCGATAGCAGGTACTGAAAAGAGAGAGAAAACAAACAAACAAAAAAACCAAGAACAGAGGCGAAAAAGGTTCTGGCTTCCAAATCCGAGTTGCTCTTGTGCACTTAGGTGGCTGGGTTTCTTTTGCCTTCATTTCTCACAGACAAAAGTGAAGGCCAGATGTAGGAGCTGGTAGGCACCTTGGTGATCCTAACCAGCTCCATTCCTGGTTTGCATGCAAAGAGATTCAGACCCAAAGAGGAGGATTAATTTTCCTGTGTCAGAGGGCCAGTTGATATTGGAAAGTAGGTCAGACCCTCCCTGGGTCCTTTACGTAGTGGTACCACTTTTACCCAGAGTATTGGGATTACAGTTGGCCTCTTTGTAGCAGAGGACTCACAGATTGCTGCACCGAGCAGCTCTGGAAGAGGAGAGGTGGAGCCCTGGTGGGAGAAGGTCAGGGCAAGGCACCTGCGGTCATTTGTACGTGGAGAAGCTGAAAACACAGGGAAAGTACTGTACAGTGTCTGATAGAGGTGTAAGAGGCTGTGTTCACTCCATGTGGGGGCTCATGACTCACAGGCGGTGAAGCCCCTTCTATTTATACTGTTGTCCTTTGGAGACAGGTCACACCTCGGCAGCAGGGACCTCCCCACATCCAGTGGCTCTGGGTTCATAGTGTCTGAGGATGGGCTTATTGTTACTAGTGCGCATGTGCTCACTAACCAGCAGCGCATCCAGGTGGAGCTCCAGAGTGGGGTCCAGTATGAAGCCACCGTCAAGGACATTGACCATAAATCCGACCTTGCCCTGATTAAGATTGAGCCAAATGTGAGTTCCTTGGGGTTTAATTAGACTCTGTTTATTGAGGATTTTCACGTTTGCTGAACTTTCCCACTCCACATCCACACCAGCTCTTTTCTGTCAAGTGTGTTTCTGTCCTTCACTCTCTCGTTTTCTTCCATGCCTGTTTGTATATCCCTGACAATTTCTATTCATTTCCCAGTAGTCTCCTCCTCTTCCTTCCTACCGTCTTTCTTCCTCTCCCCTCCTCCCTCCTCGCTCTCTTCCCCTTCAGCAGATGCCACTTCTGGGAAAAGCCATTTCTCTGCTTCAGATAGCAGAAATTGGTGCAATGGGCTCAGAGCTGCTAAGGAACACTTTGAGGTCTTTCCAACGTCAGGTGTGGGCTGCACACCAGCGGGATGGATATGCCATCTGAAAGCTTTTTAGAAATGCAGAACCTCGGGGCTGGGGATTTAGCTCCGTGGTTCCACTGCCTGCCTCGCAAGCGCAAGGACCTGAGTTCGATCCGCAGTCCGCCCCCCCCAAGAAATACAGAACCTCAGAGTCCATCCAGGTCTGCTGACTCAAACCTGCATTTTGATAAGACCCTGCTGTTTCATGTGCACAGTACAGTTTGAGCAGTGCTGCTCTGGCTGATCTCCTTCCTACTTGTGGTTTCTTCACTTTGTAAACTTTTGAGCTATAATGGTATTAAGTGAATTGCTAACGTCAATTTAGCGTTATCAGTTACTGCATCGGTGGTTTACTAATATTAATTTCTATGAAGTAACCATTTTCAATTTTAGAGGTGGTCTTAATCATCTTAACAAGTGAGAGCTTGGTAGTAGTTGGACTGGGAGGAAGAAGCAGCTGTAGACTGGGTGTGTGGGTGTGGGTGGGGTGGTACTTTTTAGATAAGTGCTGAAGTAAGAGATATCATCATACATTTGTTACATTTAAACATTCCGTGCATTTGGTCCTGATTTCTCTCCTTATCCTTCTGTCCTCCTCACTCTTCCCTGCCCTTGTGTAGACTGACCTCCCTGTTTTGTTGCTGGGAAGATCATCTGATCTTCGGGCTGGAGAGTTCGTGGTGGCCTTGGGCAGCCCATTTTCTCTGCAGAACACAGTGACTGCAGGGATCGTCAGCACCACACAGCGAGGGGGCAAAGAGCTGGGGCTGAAGGATTCAGACATAGACTATATCCAGACTGATGCCATCATTAATGTAAGTCACGGAGGAGGTCTGTTCTCAGCCCAAAGATACTGGTCGTGTACAGTGAGGAGGAAACTTTCTTTTGACCTTTGGGCGGGTCTGAAGGGCAGTTATGTCCCCATGAGAAGAATGGACACGTCATTGCTCAAGTTGAGCCTGTTTGATGGGATAATTGCCATCTTTACTTTTGGACGGGCTCTCCTCAGAGTCTATCGTGGAGGTCACCGCTGCTGTAGAATGTAGGGTCCTTTTGCAGTTGGTCTTTATCTACACTGACTTCAGAATTGATAATGATGAGTGGCAACATTTTGTCTGCCTTGGGGGAAGAACAGCGCACTAGAACAGGTAAAGCTCAGTGGGAACTGTGTTTAAATGACATGGAAGAATGTATTCATTGGCTTTACTGACGGCTTTTTCAACTTGTGTCTTTAGCACGGGAATTCTGGGGGGCCTCTGGTGAACTTGGTAAGTAGACATTTTCCTTGCTGTTTCAGGTTTCTTCCTAACTTTCAGAGGTTTTCCAAATTCTGTACTACAAACTTGAATACCCTCCTGTGTAGAGCTGGGGAATGAGACTTTTCTATTCTAGGATCTTAACTAAATGGTTAGGGGAAAAGGCAACATGTATGGTGAATATATCATCCTGGTGTGTGATCTCGTCTGAGAGCATAAGGCTCTGTTTTTCTTGAAAGTATTCCTCATCAGCATGGTTTGTTTGGTATTGAGCCATCAGCAAAAGCCCTGAATTTAAAGCCCAGATTTATGCCAAATGACCCAGTGTTCCTTGTAATGTATATCCTTGAAGATCCCTTGTATGGAGAGGCTGTGTATGGAGAAGCATTTCTCATGTAAGAATACTTCTTATTGGGCTGTAGATTTAGCTCAGTGGTGCTGCTGCCTGCCTCATAAGCACAAGGTCCTAAGTTCGATCCTTAGTACCAAAAAAAAATTTAGAATGCTTCTTATTTAATGAGGACTGTCTGTGCTTTCAGTCTTGACCTGCTTATAGATGATGAAACATCAGTACCAGAATCCATTGTTCTGTCATGTATTTTTTTAATTTTTAAAAATTTAAAAATATTGAATACTTTTATTTTTTATTATTTTATTTTTTATTATTTTATTTTTTATTATTTTATTTTTTATTATTTTATTTTTTATTATTTTATTTTTTATTATTTTATTTTTTATTATTTTATTTTTTATTATTTTATTTCATTTTATTTATTTTGTTTGTTTTTTGAGACAGGGTCTCCCTATGTAGTTCAGACTGCTCCGAACTCACTGTGTAGCCCAGGCTGGTCTAGAACTCACAGCGATCCTCCCGCCTCAGCCTCCCGAGTGCTGGGATTACAGGCGTGTGCCACCACGCCCAGCTCTACTACTTTTTATTAGTACATGCTTGCAGTAATAATGATTACTAATGATTACATTCATCGTGGGGAATTGGTACATAATACATGTTTCTTCTATTTTATGTAGAATCTGTAGTGGAAATGTCAGTGTTTCTAGTTGCTCAAATACATGTGAAAGCAGAAAAATGCAATGCAGTTTGACTCCTGCTTTCTGTGTCCCTTGGAACTCATTGATTTTGTTTTTTCTGTAAATATTATAGTTGCATTATCACCACCGTCATCATCATTATTAGCAGTACTGGAACTTGAACCCAGGGCCTTGTGATTGCTAGACAAGCACTCTACCACTGAGACACATCTCTAGCACTTTTTATTTTATTTTGAAAGACAATCTTGCTAATTCCCTGGGCTCGTTTCAAACTTTCAATCCTCTTGCCTTAGCCTCTTACGTAGCTGAGATTACACGCATGTGCCTTGACTCCTGGCTACATTTGCTTTTTAAGAAGCTTAACTATAAGTAAGATTATTGAGTCCATTTTACTAGTAACATTGCAGACAAGTTTTTGTGCCACCTTCTCAATTAGACAGTGAGTTCCCTAAGAGCAGGGCTGAAATGCGGACTTTCAAGCCATAGTGCAGAACTTCTGCATTATAATCTGTATCTTAATATGATCAGAATCTTTTCTGTCCTTTCCACTACCTAATAAAAGCTAAAGGATGACGAAGCGCATGAGAAGAAAAGTATTTCTACCTCATAGCATTAACTTGGCTGGCCTTAGTTCCCTCAGATCAGTTTTGCTAATTTTCTTGAATACGTTCACTGAAGTGTTGCTAAACATCTAACAGCTTTTTGTCTTTTCTGTGTTTCGTTTAAGCAACAAAAAGGCAAATGTTCCTTTTCCTTTTATTTGTATTAAAATACAAACTGTGGGTTACTTTTAAAAAATCAGTAGAATTTACTGGAGGAAAAAAATGAGTTAAAGATTAAAAGAGGAAAAATCTCGGGATGCTGGCCCCGGAGAAAAGATAGCTTTGCACCCATTCCCCTCTTTCCTCCCCACCCCAGCACACTAATCACCCGTAAAGTAGCATCCACGCTCTCTCCTGAAGAAGCCCTTGTTCTCTGACCCTAAATGACGAGCTCCAGTCCTTCCTCTGCTTGTTCTGCCGTTGCATGGCTCAGTTTGCAAAGCTTCGTGACTGGATGATGTTTCCTCCCCCACCAGGATGGTGATGTGATTGGCATAAACTCGCTGAAGGTGACCGCAGGAATCTCCTTTGCGATCCCCTCCGATCGCATTAGGCAGTTCTTGGCAGAATACCACGAGCGCCAGTCGAAAGGTGAACGGAGCGGGGGTGTTTGGTCCCCTCTTGCAGTGCTCAGGAGCGCTCCATCTTTTGAGACCAGGGTTTGAATTCTGTACAGGGTTGGGTCATTGATTCTCAGCTTCTGTATCGGTTGTTTGGGTGGCAGTACGGGGACTGGGCACAAAACCAGGCACGAGAGGTACCCAGAAGTCCTTGGATGGGCTGGTGGCAGGAGGTGCGTTTGTGCTGATGACGGAGGTTCTGTGAAGCGTGCAGTTCATGGCAGGTAGACTGAAAGGGCAACTGCTACGATCATAAAGAGACTCTGGGACTTGGCTGTCTTTTAAGCTGTGCCAAAAGGAAAGAAGTTTTATTGTTAGTCACGCATTATTATACTTTTCCTTTCCAGGCAAGGCTCCTTTGCAGAAGAAATATCTGGGCATGCGAATGCTGCCCCTCTCTTTGAAGTAAGTCTGACTTTGACTGTGTCTGGGTGGTTTTTCTGAGGCAAGTCATAGCAAGATGATTTGGACAGAAAAGTCACTGCATTTGAATGCAGTGAAGCACCCTCGTGACCAAGGGCTCTGTTTGCCACAGGATGTGTGCCCCACTCAGCCTCCAGCAGCCCTCACTGTGAAAGAGCACCTTTCGCTGGCGTGTACTGAATCACGTCCCGTGGCTCTAGCCTTTAACGTAGAGGATCACACTGTACCCAGAGCAGACGATTGTCCTGGGTGCCTGTGAGCCTTGAGCAAAGCAGACAGAGTTCCAGCTTTTACCAGAGCTCAGGTGACTTCATGTGTGTGTTAACCTCCGTGCTTCTCCTAGCCTTCTTCAAGAAATGAAAAGGCAAGATCCAGATTTCCCTGATGTGAGCTCTGGGGTTTTTGTGTATGAAGTGATTCGAGGAACAGCTGCTGAGAGGTCAGTGCAGGTCTTTCCAGAGCTCTGCATTCTTTCTGAATGTGTGCGTAGTGAATGCCTGAAGGTTCTAGACTTGCTCTGCCCATTTCCTTGGACACTGTCTGCACACAGTGTACCGAGCACCTGAAATGGGGCCAGATTGACTCAATGTCTTAGTCACTTTCTTGTTGCTGGGACACAATACTTGACACCCAAACCTCAAGGGAGGAGAGGTTCATTTGGCTCAGGCTGCAGTCCACGGCTGGCTGACTCCAGGAGAGGGAAAGGCTGTGGCTGAGGACAGCTGCTCTTGTCACGGCGGCCAGGAAGCTGAGAGGAGGGAGAGACGTCTTTCCGGGTCATGCCTCCCGTGATCTGCCTCTTCGGGTCGGGTCCTTCTTCCTAACAGCACGTTTATCCGTAGACCCCTGCGAGCTAATCACCTTTCAAAAGCCCCGCCTATGAGTGCATGAGGCTCTGGGGACATCTAGGTAGAAACCGCGACATTTGGGAACTGAATTTAAAATTTAATTTTAATCGACTGAATGAAAAAAGCCCAAGAGTAGTGCATAATATTTTCCCATTTCCCTTTTGGTTTTAGAAAGACTGTCTTTAACTTTAATCCTTGCATTATGTAAGATAGCATCATTATATAATACCTTATTAGGCATGTATTTTTTCAAGTGGATTTCAAAGACTCATGCAAAGCAAAGCATGTAAAAATCGCAGAATGCTTGTTACATGTTAAAATAAGAATGACATTCAGTTAAATAAGATACATTATCATTACAAATTTATTTCATCTATTTAAATTTTTTTAAAAGGTGGCATTAGAAAATTTAAAATGTCATATATGGCTTGCATTATATTTCTTTCTCTTTTTGCGGGTACTGAATATCAAACTCGGGACCTTGCGCTTGCGAGGCAGGCACGGCACCACTGAGCTATATCCCCAGCCCTGTTTGCATTATATTTTTATGGGACGGTACTGATGTGACAACAGTTTAAATTAATTTTACTAGGAATTAACAGATGTTTTGTAGTGGTGAGGAGCGAGCCCGGGGTCACGCGCTAGGCGGGTGCTCTGCTGCTCAGTTACATTCCTAGCCCCATCTGACTTACCCGTCTTACTCACTGAGGGCTGTAGGTTATGATGGCAACCGGGTATGCCATAGGCCTTGCTCCAGAAATAGCGGTCATGTATCTTTGGGTCTGAGATTTAAGAAATTATTAAAATTGCGTTATACCCTGAGGTCACTGTTTCTTCATTTAACTAATTGGCACATACTATTTTGGATATATATTGTCACTTGGGCCAGCTAATGTCTAAGTATCTGCCTAACACTGTTTGTATGTATTGTAGATCTTTTAAAACACCTTTTACTTTGAGCTCTAGATGACAGAGGGCAGTGCTGAGACTTGTGTCATAAACTCAAGGCCAGAACAGCCCCCATGGAAGGTTTTCCAGTTGACTTTGCTGTTGTTTTAGAACATTTAATAGTAGGGAAGAGGTGGCTTGTCCTATATATATATATATTATTCTCCTTGGTCTCTCACTTTTTCATTATCTTTCTTTCACCATTTTTATTTTTCAAGATCTCGTAATCTATTTAGAATACAGCTTTCTCACAGGTGGAAAGAAATCATAGGTACCGTCTATTCGGTATGGCTAAATGTTAGATCTCGCTTTACTGAAGTTGGCTTGTTATGGGCTTTCCTGGTTCTGGTCCTGATTTCTACCCCTACTCTCACCTGTAGCTTTTTAACTTCTTGTCAAAGGTCAAAATGACTGCTTTCAGCTAAGTTGTTGCTACTCAAAATATGGTGTATAATCAGGCCATTAGCATCAGCGGAGCTGGTGAGAGGGTCAAATCGCATGCCCTACTTGGCATTCACTGAATTAGAATCTGCACCTGCTTTGTGGTGTTGAGGATCAAACACGGCCCGGCACATGCTAAGCAAGAGATCTCCTGCTGAGCTACATCCCCAGCTAGAACCTGGGCTTTTAGCAAGATCCCCAGGTGCTTTGTAGGTTTTAGGACTGAGAATTACTTCTGGAAGTCACTGAGGTGTGGATACCCAGGCTTTCTGCCTTTTGCTCTTACATCTGATGATAATGATAATAACAATAATTACAGTTTAACAGCTGGCACTTAGAAAGCATTTACTGTATGCCAGGCACAATTTAAAGTATTTTATACACTTGTTTGAGCCCAACAGTCTTATGATGGAGGTAGTTTTGTGAGGGAGCAGCTGTGTTATAGAATGGGGAACTTAGAAAGTTACGCTGTGGGTCAGAGAAATGTGGCCCCTGGCTGAAACCCTCTGTTGCCTTGCTTTTTTTTGTTTTTGAGAGGCAGAGTGATTTAGTGGCAAAGCAATGAATTTTCAAGCCTTAAAAGCCAGGGTCATATCCTACTTTCACCTCTTAGGAGTTGTGTGACCCAGGAAAGGTCATTTATTTCATCTGAGCCTAGTCATTTGGTATGTAGTGGGTATAAAGTAGTAACTTGCAGGTTTCTTTCTTGTTCTCTTTTCCTATGCATAGAACTGCTATGAATTAAGCTCTTTGTGCAGACAGTTCTAAATCATTCTACTAAACTGTCCTTGTTCTCAAGACCTTTCCTGAATGTAGCTCTATAGTTGCTTCTCTTCACATCTGCTTGTTTAAATTTCCTTTTTTTTTTTTTTTTTTTGATGCTGAGGATTGAACCCAGGGCCTTGTGCATGGTGAATATACACTCTTCCTATTTCCTTTTTGAACTCCACATATCTTGGTAATTCTACTGCACTGTGTGTGTGTGTGTGTGTGTGTGTGTGTGTGTGCGTGCACACATGTTCTATGCTCCTTAATCAGGTTTCTTCTTGAGTCATTTAATTTAATGGCTCTCTTCCAGCATGTTTTCACCTTTAAGACAAACCATCAGCCTGGCTATGTGTTTATTGCAGAATATATTATTTGGAACTGCTTTTGTTTCTAGAATATACATTCTGTATGAAGCAAATGTATTGGAGACTGACTGAATAGAATCACAACTTTTGGAAAAAGGAGCCTAGAATCAAAGGTTCAGATATGTAGACTTGGAAGGTTGAGAGTCACTTTTTATCTCCTGGAAGCAGCATTTCTGTAATGCAGCTCAGCACGTTCTTCAGTTCTTTTAAACTGTGGGACACCTGAATCAAACTGATCAGAGTACAGCTGTAGAGGAAAAATGTACTGCTCAGGCTTTGTACTTTTGCTGGTCAGTCTGGGAATGTGCTTGAAGTAGAGAGAGGTCAGAGACGAACAGACGTTAAAAATGAAGCTCTCCATTCCAAACCAGGTCCAAAATTTGGGTGGTGTAAACTTCTTATATGATTGTCAAAGTCTATTAATTTTATAAAGGTAAATAGGATTGTTGTCCTCCAGATGATTTTGTAGCATCTTTTTTTTTTTTTTTTTGAGACAGGGTCTCACTAGGTAGTTGAAACTGACCTGGAACTCACTATGTAGCCCAGGCTGGTCTCGAACTCACAGTGATCCTCCTGCCTCAGCCTCCCGAGTGCTGGGATTACAGGCATGCGCCACCACACCCGGCCTTGTAGTATATTTTAGAAGAGCTATCATATTTGGATTAAGGTTGTATCTGTTTATATATTTAACACCAGCAAAACAGTACTGAAAGAGGTTTTACATTCTAGATGGGGAGGAGTAGAACTCTTAAAACTTCACGGTTTCATTTTTTTTCTTCCTTCTCAGCTCTGGGTTGAGAGACCATGATGTGATTGTCAGCATCAATGGGCAGCCAGTTTTTACCACAGCCGATGTCATTGAAGCTGTTAAAGACAATGCTTCCCTTTCCATTATCGTGCGTCGAGGGAGTCAAACCTTGTTTCTCACAGTCACACCCGACATAATCAGTTAAGCGTCTTGCTTTAGAAGACATTTAACAAAACCAAAGTTTTATTGCCTGGTTTGTATGGAAGATGTACTGAAGATGGCAGGGGTTTCTGGAGCTCTTTCTCATTAAGAAAAATGATGTCTAATTAAATGCATACACACAGGGCCGGCATTGCCAGGCTCGGGGAGCCACTCTGCTGCACAATAGCCTTTGTAAGCCAAGTAGAAGGACATCGTGCCACAAAGTCTTGAGTTGATAAAATTTTATTTACAGAAAGGAGACAACTAAAAAGCAGGCACAGTTTCTAATAAAACCTTGACAGAGAGACACTTCATTATTTTAAGTCTTATCTTACAACCACAAGCGAGATATAACACACACATAGACAAATTGATCTATTCACCAAATACTAAGAAACAACCTGAGCTCAGGGTGTAAAATATTTTAATATTACTGCTTTCTTTAGTCAGTTTTCCAGGTTTTATCACATTTGACCAAAGTTTGTGGACATTATTTAGAAGTTAAGGGGCTGGGGATTTAGCTCAGTGGTTCTGCTGCCTGCCTCACAAGTGCAAGGTCTTGAGTTCAATTCCTGGTACCAAAAAAAAAAAGTGCTATTTAGAAGGTTAAGTCAAAACTTAATAATGGGGGATTGTCACACAAGAGTATTACTAATGACTCTCAAATTATCAGTCTAGCAGTAGAAATAACTTTAGTAACCAACAGGGCTTCTAACAAAATAGTTTTGTGAAAATGTACAGACTTTTAAGTTTTTTTACTGGAGTTTTTCCTGGCAATAACAATGATTTCAAAGTTCATTTTTTCAAGAAAATAAATTTTTCTTTCTTTTCTTTTTTTATGGGGGGCTTGAACCCAGGGGCACTCTAACACTGAACTACCTCCCTAGCTCTTTTTAACTTAAGACAGCGTCTCACTAGGTCACCTGGGTTGGGCCCATAGTAGCTACTCCAAAGTAGCTGGTACAGGCATGTGTCATGGTGTCTGGCTAACAAAGTAGCTTTTGATGGTGTGTGCAAACATTTTTAGGGAATAGTTTTTTTTGTGTGTGTGTGAGACGAGGCAGGTTTATAGGTTAAAAGTAGTATCTTATTCGGAATTATTAGTTCCTGTTTTTCAAACTTCCCCTAAAAATGAAGTGCTTTGTTGTTTTTGTTTTTTTGTATTGGTCTACAGATCAAATACAGGGCCTTGTACATACTAGGCAAGAGCTATCCACCTATGCCAAAAGTAATATATATTTTTTTAATATGGTAACTTTGGGGGCTAGGGATTTAGCTCAGTGGTTCTGTTGCCTGCCTTGCAAGCACAAGGTCCTGAGTTCGATACCTGGTACCGCAAAACACACACACACACACACACACACACACACACACACGCAATATGGTAACTTTGAACCTTCATTAAATTCTACACAGAATTTCATATGTATGTATATTTATCTGAGGAGAGGGTCCAGTTTCTTCATGATCCATAACAACTAAAAGTATTAAAAATATTGCCTAGGGCATAGAGAATATGGATTGAGAATCTGCCACCAAATACTGTTATAAGCAAGGTTAAAGTCAGTGTAGTAAGCTAAGATTTAGCTCAGTGGTTCCACTGCTTGCCTCACAAGTGCAAGGTCCCGAGTTCAATCCCCAGTACTGAAACAAAAAACTAAACAAATAAGAAGCATAAACAAAACAAAGCAAAGTCAGTATGGCACAGAATTTTTAAGATGGAACAAAGTAAACTGTTTCAATTTTTTCTGCAATGCTACCTCTAGTAATAGAAGAGTTGATCATACCAGGCATGATAAACTAGAAACTTTTAGGAAAATGATAGAACATTTTCAGGGAAGTTATTCTAACTGTGATTCTTGGTCTTTAAGTCAGTTATTATGAGAGTAAACAGAATTCTTCCTTGAGTATTTCTGGATTTTGTGTTATTCCTTTTTTTTTTTTTTTTTTTTACAGGGGATCAAATCCAGGGCTTGCACATGCTAAACTACAGCCCCAGCCCTGTTGTAAATTATTCTGAATAGTAGGCTCTAGGTTTGACTTGTATACAAAGTCTACTTTTTATTTTATACTTAATAGTTCTTTTCAATTGAAAAGGATGTGAACTGGGTTTTTAAAACCATGTACAATCGGGAAAATTTCTTTTTACTCCCAGGGACTTGGGAGTGCAAAAGCTTAAATGTATCCCTTTCTGCTTGCTGTAGCCCACTGTAAGAGCTTTTACTGTCATGCTTATTTTGAGAGAATGTTTAGTTTTTCCTTGCTCTCATAAATCACATCCTAATTCTCCTAATATTTGATGTCTTTTAAGTAGGAATATGTTTTTCTTTCCAAAGGCATGGTGGTTCTCATTTTACCTTGCCTAACTTTAAAATGATTTTTATATTACTTTATCATCCTATAACATGGGCTTCAAAAACTGGAAGACACAGACTTTTTAGATAGGACATTTCTGCCAAGAGAAATAGCTTAACTCATTCGTGTCTGGTGTAGCATTCAAAACATAACTGAATTGAAGGAATTATCGGACTGATGTATTGCCTCTGGAACATGTAGGGTTTATTAATACAGTGGTTCATTTCGATGAGTAACTTTCAGCAAAACAAAATATAATTTTGAGTTTCACTTTCCCTCTAGAAAATACTCGTATTGGATTCTAGGTTGGCAAAATTTATTCTACAATTTAAATTTAAAGTCAGAATTTCAGGCCATGTCTACTTTAAAGTCAGAATTTTAGGCCATGTCTACTTCTGCTAAAATTTTCACTGGCTCAGGTTTGAATCGTCTCTGCATGAAAATAGGGTCACAAAAGGCACATGGATAACAATACTCACTTTGCCTATCGTATTGGGTTCTCGTCTCCAAAGGACTGAAGACCAGCAATATACAGAAATAAAGAATGTGGAAATCTATCTGCAGTTTGTGTTAGTCCTTAGCCTTTGTACGCTGTACATGAGGAAAGGTACAAATTTGATCCCCACAAAACCATTTGCTTGTCATTTCCAGTCCATAAGGTAGGATTTGAATTGAAAATCCCATAGTCTAAAGAATTCTTCTTACAAACCCATTCCCTCCAAAGAGAGAAATGTTCAGGTCTGATATCAAAGAAGTCTGAGCCTGTAGAGATGAGTTTAGAAGACAGAGGCTCACTTGTCTCTCTGGGTTGTAACAGCAGCTCTTTTTAGTAAATGGTGCACCAGTTGCTACCGTCACTTGGCATTAGCCCTCCAGTGATGAGCAAAATCAGGTCAACAAACCACCAAATCCCAAGTCCTCCAAGTGTCAGTAGCTTCCCAACTGCTGTGCCAGTGTGTCCCAGACAGAAACGATCTACTCCAAAACATCCCAGGAAGAAGGAGTACAGTAAAGTAGTTATGAAATAGTGTCCAGTATACCTGGATAAAAGGAATGAAAAGAGAAGATGTTTAAGGAAAATAAAAACACTTAAAAGATGAATGATTTTAATATAAGTGAAAAAAATGGTATCACCGTTCCTCTGTGGCGTCATACCTTCTATGCTCAGTTGGTGTGGTCATAAAGTCAAGCAAAAGGGAGACTACGAGAAATACCAGTTTATTATACTCACGGGTATTAGAGGCAGGAGGCATGGTCCACTCTTCAGGGACATGTGGGAGGGACACCAGCGTGGGGAGAAGGCAAGAATGAGGGGAGAGTTTAGGGCACTGCCTTTATTGGGATTTCTTTAGGAAAGCCAAGGCAGGGGAGGGTGAAGAACTCAGGACTGGCAAGTCTGAGCAATTTCAACAACTTCTAGGCTGTAGGAGTGGTCCCTAGTTGCCTGGCACTTGATCCTGGGATGATCAAGGCAGAGGAATGTTTTCTCCCAAGGTTACAGGGCAGATTGAGGAAGTACGGGTCTGGATTAGTTTGTGCACCTGTCAAGGTCACGCTCCTGGCTGAGTTCTTTGCTATTTCTAAGGTAGGAAATTTTTCGTTTTGTTTTCTTTTTGAAACAGGATCTCCCTATGTAATTCAGGCTGGCGTTAAACTCACTAAGTATCCCAGGCTGGAATTACTCAGTGATCCTCCCATGTGCTGGGATTACAGGTGTGCACCACACCTGCCCAGCACTCTTTGCTGTCTCTAAGAATTGATCAGGCTCGGGAGGGGCAGACTCTCCCCAAGCAGATTTTTTAAGATGTCACATATCATAATTCTATAAAACCTTCGCAGAGGTGGACTGCATAAAAAAAATCACCAAGCACATTTGTGTAACAGACGTGTGAGTGGAGTTTGAGCTCCCATCATCCCCTGTGCATATGCAGGCTTCTTTCTTGAGGCTTGGCTGGCTGCCTTTGCGTCTAAGAAATGTAGCTTTTCCTACTGAGCACCTGATCTCCGTACATCTTTCCTGCTGTTTTGTGGCAGCTAAAGGGACTTTCTGAGGCTTCAGTCCTTCATACGATGAAGACATTTAAATGCAGTTGCTAATACTGCCACTAAACCACGGACCCTTTCCATTCACTGACAATATAAGTAAATTCTGTGCGTTCCAGTGCAAGTTACAAAAATGACCCTAACCCTTTAACTGAAGATCAACTGATTTCTAGAGTAATCCTCACTTTTCATAATGAAATACTGATTCCTAAAATAGTAAGGCATTTTTCACTGGATTTATGTCTTTCAGGTTTTGGGAGTTAGGTCATCTGGTACAATTTCTGCATATTGAGGACGTGGGGATCGATTCTGAATGTTCACAGAAACTTGCCTTCTTAGTGAAACAGATAGAGGGTCCTCTACTCTATAACTCTATGGCTCTGTCAGTGGATTATGCGCTTAAAAGTCACAACAAAGAAAGACAATGAAAATAGCTCTTACCTTCATCCAAGTATCAACTACCCCATTCAGAAGCTGGGGATGAGGCCCTGGGTTTAATTCCACATACCACACACACACACACACACACACACACACACACACACACACAAAGAAAAGAATAACACCTACTTTATACAAGGTCTGTTTTCTCGTAGGAAGGTCCTATGACTGGCACACTCAATTCCATCTAGGGCTCGACACTGGACAGCAGTGTGTTCCACGTCACTGTAGGCCTGGCCACCAAACTGTGGAATAATCACCAAACCAAGCAACACAGAATACGTCTTTAGACTCACTGATAAAGGCTGTTTGAGTACTACATTCTGACAAGGTTGGGTAATACTCTGCTCAAAGACACAGAGCTCAGTGACATACTTCCAATGATTTTCAATGAGTCCATCCGAAGTGGGCATTGTTTTAAATAAACATTTTTCTCCATTTATGACTAGCCACTTTATTAATAAAGTAAAACCTCCCTTAATCAATTTAATGAATGGCATTCAAAAGAAATTGACACTGCTTTAATTATAATTACATGAAAAAGAGCACGCTGTGGAACATTTGAAAAGTCAATGTGTATTTAAAAAGTCATTGTGTAACTGGAAGTCTGTTTTATATCCATTATAAATAAGTAGAGCTAAAGGGGAAGTAAAAGAATTAGGATGTGTTATGTACACATATGTGTACCATCTCTCTCTCATGCACATGATCATTAGGTACTGCAAACACGGACTAATAAAAATTTTAAAAATTAAAATAATGAACAATATCAACTGTCTTAGACTTTAGGGCATGAACAAGGTGACTATCAGATGTTTATAGTCCATCTACAGTGTAAATGTAAATTCCAGCAAACATTTTTGGAAAAACCTGGGCCTCTTACCCTTTGCTTAACTGAATGCTAGCAGAGAAAACACAGATGTACACTTTTTTACTGGCACCTTATTGGTGCTTTACTACTGTTTTTGTTGGAGGCTTGCTCAAAGGGAAGGGACTGGAAAAATAAGGATGGTTACTCCGAATCCCTCCCCAGTACTGCCAATCTTGGACGTTCTGGGTGAGGTCTGAATCTGACTGCCTTAACAGGATAAACTTAGTTTTTAATTAAAATGTTAATTTAGTTAACTAAATGTTAGTTTTAATTAAAGTTGTTAAGTCAATGTTAATCAAGCTTTTATCAGTATCACTGTATTTAAAATGTTTCTTTACATATGATTCAGTCAGAGTTGCCTTCTGGCTTGTTACTTTCAAGTATATTCCTGAGTCTGATTTAGTACAAAAGATGGTTTCCTATAATTCTCTTGAATTTTGCATTATCATGATGCAAAGGTTGGTGTTTCAGAGACTGACTATAAGTGTATACCTAGGTTTAGGGATATTATTTATGGATCCGAATGGCTTCTTTCCATTTCAAGAGGCCAAAAGTTTCCCTTGACTA